TGTTGTATTGTAAAATAAACAAGGTTTTCAAAATGTTTAAGAAGCTTCATTTAAAATTAAATTAAAATGTTGATCTTACGCCGCTGGCCCGCTCAGCCCGCTGCTGGTCTGGGGTTCTGTTCACCTAGGCCGGCAGCGGGCTGAGTGGGGCCTGCGGCCGGGACTCCGGCTGGCAAGGGGCCGGCAGCCAGAATCCCAGACCAGCAGCGGGCTGTGGGGGGTCGGTGGCTGGGACCCCAGACTGGCAATGGGCTGAGCGGCTCAGCCCACTGCCGCTCAGGGTTTCCATCCACCGGCTCCTGCCAGATGGGATCCCGGCTGCCGGACCGGCTCAGCCCGCTGCCAGTCTGGGATCCCGGCCCTGCCCACATACAGTGGATACCTACCTTCTCCCTGGTTCTGGCCCATTCTCTTCCTCTCTCTCTGCACTGAGCTGAGGGTGGGAGTGCACTGAGCACAGGGCAGGGGGTGAAGGAGCAGGCTGGGGGTTGGGGTGTAGGGTCTGGCCAGAAGCTAGAATGAGGGAGGGGGCTCAAGGTTGGGGCAGGAGGTTTGGGTGTGGAGCGCTTACCTGGGCAGCTCCCATTTGGTGCGAGGGGTGCAGGTGGGAATGTGGGGGGAGGGGGTGCAGGAGCTCCCGTTTGGTGCTCAGGGTGGGAGTGGGGATGTGGGGGTGCAAGAGTCAGGATTGGGGGTGTGTGTGCAAGAGTCAGGGCAGAGGGCTAGGGGCATGTGAGGGGGGTGCAGGTGTCAGGGCATTGGGTGTGGGGGGCCTGGGTATGTGTGTGGGTGCCAGAGTCAGGGCTGGGGTCGTGGGGGTGGTGGTGAAGGAATCAAGCAGAGGGCTGGGTGTGTGTGAGGGGGGGTCAGGGCAGAGGGCTGGGGGTGTGGGCTGGGGTCATGGGGTGCTCACAGCAGGGGGCTGAAGGGGATATGCCCCTATTCCACCACCCCCTTCCCCAAGGCCCTGCCCCGCTTCTTCTCTGCCTCTGCTGGGAGCAGCGAGCATGCTGACTCCACTCCTCCCCCACCCTCGCAAGGGCCATCAGCTGATCGGCTGGCAGGGAGGGAGGGACGGAGAGGAGGAGGAGGGGCAGGAACCCAGCACACTGTGGGAAGAGGCAGGGGAGCTGGCAGGACCAAGCTTCTGCCCCCTGCCCCTTGCCCCCGCGGGAGGGGATGGGGGGGAGGGGCGGAGGGTGGAGAAGAGCATGACATTAAAAATCGGCACGCGTGCCATAGGTTGCTGACCCCTGACCTAGGACATGCAATATGAATGGGCCATTGCCTTATTTCCAGTATAACATTTCATTGGTAATCATGACTGAAATCCATAGTATTTATTATTTTGCTTTCATTCCAAGACCTCGAAGTACAAGATTCTGTCAGAGACCTTTCAGGAGCTCTAAATTCACAAATACCAAAAGTTAGAACCATCTGTGATTAAATTTACTGTAATAAATAAAATTTGACTTTTGCACATAGCATCATTGACAGTGCTGGAGGATTCTCTGCACCATGAAGTCTTTAAACTACAAGTTGAGGACTTCAATAGCTGAGACATAGGTCAGGGCTTGTTACAGGAGTGGGTGGGTGAGATTATGTGGCCTGCGTTGTGCAGGAGGTCAGACTAGAAGATCATAATGGTCCCTTCTGACCTTAAAGTCTATGAGTCTTAGTGAAAGAATGCCCCTCTTTCATTTTATCATTAGGAATGTTTACACTTACAAAGTCAATAGAAGACTTCTTTTCTGGGATATGACAACTAAGCCACCATTCCACCTCCACTATATTGGCCTGCTAAACCCAGGGTTGTGAGTTCAATCCTTGAGGGGGCCACTTAAGGATCTGGGGCAAAAATCTGTCTGGGGATTGGTCCTGCTTTGAGCTTTGGACTAGATGACCTCCTGAGGTTCCTTCCAACCTTGATAATCTATGATTACACTACCACCTTTCCCTCACTCGCAGCTGACATTTTATAGGAAAAAACATCCCTTGTTTTTCTTATATTCCATTTGTGGACCTCCAAGGGCAGGCGGTAATATTTGAACCACCAACAATTCCATCCAAGGACTCACAAGCCCTTTTTCTGCCCACGGGTATCTACTTTATCATCAAAGCTGGTTGTTGGGTAATTTCCCAACTGGGTTTACATAATCAAATATGAAACCCCAAATAAGGGTATTGATTCAATTGACTTCTGAAGCCACTTACACCTGCAATGTAAGTATTGTAAATTTTCCCCACTTATCCTAAATTTAGGAATTAGGAAATACTGTAATAAACCATTTCTAATCACGCCCAGCAATGTTATATAACAAATGAGAATAATTCTGTCACAGGTGGTACAATGGATTGACAGCAGCAAGGTGTTTTGGGTTATCTCAGGAATGTGGGTCAGTAATAAAAGGTGGTCACTGCAGCCTAAGGCATTCTACAGGTGAAGCTGCTGCAATAGCTATCCAGATTGCTTCTTTATGGACCACTGAACGACTTCACTGGTCTTTGGATCAGGGCCTATATGTTATGAGGGGGAAGTTTTACAATAGGTTGATGGTCTGGGAAGAAGTTTCAGTATTTGAAGGCAAGTGGAGATGAACTGGAGAAAAGGAAGTAGGATTTTGCCTTGGAGAGCGATCCCTACAAGGAATCGGTGACCTGCAGATACCATAATTCATGCAGCATTCAGTCAGATAAAAGCCCTTCAGTTAATGCTTTAAATTGAAGGCCTGCAGAGGTTGAAACTGCTGGAAGACCCAGATTACCAAACCGTCAAGTGTCTCACAGTTTGTCAGATCTGTGAAGTATCGCTAAGAGAGGCACTAGACAGTGAGGAGGCCTGTCTTTTCAATAAGCACGCATAACAACTGAGATAAGTAGGCAACATTAATTGAAATGCCTTTTTCCAGGACAAATGTATCCAAGACTTTTGGGTAGGTTTGTCAGGGGTTCATTCCTAATTGTTGTTAGCACAGGGAATGTTAGAATACCAGTAATACTAATATGCAAAAAACTCCTAATTTCCCCCCCTTTATTAAATAAGGATTCCATCCACTATTCAGAGTGTAACATCCGTAGCAGCCACGACTGTGCCCCTCCTGGAGAAAGGTCAAACTTAAAACACTAGCTTTTTATGGCCAGATTCTGCCTCTGTTACTTGCACTGAGTCTTTATTCTGTCAGTAATCTCCCTGAAACGACTATGGCTTCTGGAAGAGTAAGGTAATACTCAGTGTCTCACCCTGAATGGATACATCTCTGGTTGTAGCACTACTGAAGTTCTTCCACCTGAGACAGAAACCAAAGTGCTTGGGTTTAGAGGCTTTTTAAGGCAAATCTGAGTTTCAAAGGAATCAAATTTGACAGCCAGTATTGCCCAGTGGAGCACTGAATTAGGGCTCAGGACCTGCTTTCTATTCCTAGCTCTACCACTATCCTCCTGGGTGGCCTTAGGCAAGTCACTGACCTCCTTGTGCCTCAGTTTCCCCATCTGTAAATTGGGGATTATGATACACAGTTTTACAGTATAACCCACAAAAATACATTCATATAGCAGAGAATGGTGACAGCTGAATCTACATTATACTTGAAGTAGTCACTTAAATATAGTTATTTTTATAATACCACATGCATTAGGATATCCTACATGCTCATACAATATCTTAAGTCCAGCAGCAGGTGTTTGAGGAAACAAGACTTGCAATTTAAATTGTGAGTGTCAGTAGTGATCAGTCCCATGTCTCTACATTGACTGAGTTATTTTTAAAAGTTGAACATACCATTTTAGCTTATACTCTTTCTACTGAAACTTACTTTCTGTCTGTGTCACTTGCCCTCCAGGTTGTACTCTTCTTTGGACTCTGGCCTGCCAACACTTCTCCCTCCCCATATTTCTTCCACTCTTTGCTTTAGCCAAGGGCAAAGACTTTATCATTTTAAATTTAGAAGAAGCTGAAGGCATTGTTTCTCCCAAATCCAATATCCTGCTGGCATGATCTCAATCCTGATGGAGAGCAGACTTCAGCTCTTCTGGAGCAGAGCAGTGGCACTTGCCGAAGCCGGGACAGAAGGAAATATTTCACAGGGGTGGGGGAGTAACCCCTGAGCTGCCACCAAGAAATTCTTCATGATGCAGCAGAATCCTAAGACTACCTCACATCTCCCATCATGACAGCTGGGGCTGGATAAACAAGACTCCCATTTTAGCTTTACTAAATATAAAATTAAACATAAAACAGCTGAGGGGTTGTGATGAAGTGAGGAGAGTGGAGCAGGGGAGGCAGCAGAGGCAGTGGAGAGAGAAATACTCAGTACATGTGTTTTTATTGTAAAATGTACCTAAAACACAAACTCAAACCTGTAGGCAGACACTGAGAAGAGGAAGCGAAATTCACTTTAAATTCATTTCAAAATACATTTTTTCCAAACCATGATTGGACAAAAAGCCATAAGTAGGTGTCCACATGTGCAATCTAGGGGTGTGGTCAATGATGGAAAAAGGAAGGAATGGGGGTGGGTTGTGAGGTAACAAACACTGGTATTTGTTCAATACCCTTAGTGAGATCCTGACAAAAATCTTAACTTCCCGTTTTTCAAAAAAAAGTTCAAGCTCCACAACCATGAGGGCTCGAAAGTGAACCCCAAAGGCTCATTAAACAGAAGACAAAAAGTACCCTAAGTTCTTTTGGAAAAAAAAGTATTAGAGGGGTAGCCGTGTTAGTCTGGATCTGTAAAAAGCTACAAAGAGTCCTGTGGCACCTTACAGACTAACAGACGTATTGGAGCATAAGTTTTCGTGGGTGAATACCCACTTCGTCAGATGAATACCAACATTCATCTGACGAAGTGGGTATTCACCCACGAAAGCTTATGCTCCAATACGTCTGTTAGTCTATAAGGTGCCACAGGACTCTTTGTAGCTTTTTGGAAAAAAAAAAAAAAAAGTCTCATGATTTTTGGGAGCCTTACTCATTTTTGAACACTAGAGCAGGGGTTCTCAACCTTTTTCTTTCTGAAGCCTCCCTCAACATGCTAGAAAAACTCCAGGGCCCAGCAGGGAGTGAACTCAGGGCTCCGGGCCGTGGTGGGAATCCTTGGTCATATGCATGAGCACCACCTCTACCCTCTGACCCACCGCAACAGGCCACCTAGCCATCTGGGGCTGTGTGCCAGTGGCTATTCCCTGAGGGCTCTGCTGGACCCGGAGCCGCCCGGGCAGCTCTGACCGGCTGCGTGAGCAGTCCAAGGGGGCTGGGAGCTGAGGAGCAACCACAACCCCGGGCACCAGCAGCAGAATGGGGAATGCCACAGCTGCCTGCTCCATGACACCCCCAGCCAGAGGAGCAGCTGCCCTGCGCTGCCTGGATCTGGCTTCCTGCCTAGGACCTGGCCAGAAGGCAGGGCCTGAAGGGGGCTTGGGGGAGAGAAGGAAGAGGAGGAGAGGGAGGGTGGAGCTGCCCCCAGGACTGCCCCACTTTGGGTTGAGAACCGCTGTACTAGAGGATGGCTACACTAGTACTTTTAATTTTCATTATACTTATGAGCAAAAAGTAAAACTACTGTCTTGGAGTCATTCTATTAAAAAGAAAAACACCCCACACATCAGGTTGTAAGTGCCATGCTGTTTTAATTGCTACCACTCAGCACTCTCATATACCAGCAACGCCACAGAAGCATATTAATAACACACCCCTGCTTTCACGTTCCTTTCTCATTAAAATTTCACATCACTACATAATTCCATTACTCGTATACTGACACCAAAATGTAAAATACAAAATGCAAGTTTTCAGAATTACAATCAACACGATCAGAGCAGAGACATATTTGAACTTGCAATACTCTCCATCCTCTTCCCTCCAGCTGCTTTCCAAGGCAGAGAGAGTAAACAGCCTTCTCCCAGCTTCCTTACTTTCCACAGCTGAGAGTGTAGGATGTTTACAGTACCTGCCACTCAGAGCTCTCAAGAATGAATCACAAATCAGCTGGCCAAGTAAAGACTTCATAACTAAAACTGCAGGAAATATACAGACATCAAGTCAATGGAAGAAAAATATCCACTACATTTTTATACCACAAAATTCTTACACTTTTTTTTTTAATTCAAGATTTGTCCTTCTTTCTTGGTGTGTGAAAGGGGAGGAATAGTAGAGGAAAGTCCACAAGAACATTTAGCTTGGCATCTCCAGAGGATATCCACCATCAGTTTGACAGTTGTGTTTCAAGACTTCATGCCAGCTCAACTTCTGACGAAGCTGTGCCTGCAGACAGAAGATATTTCACCATTTTAATTAGAGTGCACAAAAGCATGTTAACAAAAGGAAAATACAGAACACAATATGCTGTCCAAACAGGATTCAAACTTTTTAATTAGTAGTAATAAAAAGACCTAGAGTGATGGGTTAGAGGAATGTGGAAAACAACTTTATGTACTAGAAATAGCCACCCAGTGAGTCTAAGTACTCAGCCTACCTGCCAGGAAGCGGGATGGGAAAAATATAGTGTTAAGTGTTGTTTGCCATCAAGGCCTGTAGTGCACATATGAAGTTGCAGAACAGGCCATATTATATTATCTGTAATGTTTTATTTCTGGAAGCACCCACTGTGTGCTAGATGATGTAAACAAAGAATATTCATTCATACTCATAACACTGCTACTGCCAAAGAGATGCAATATGGGGAATTTTATGGATTCAGATTAAACCAACCTGCAGAAGAGAAAAATTAGCCTGTTGCTGAAGAGGCAAGAGAGGGCTTTACAATACTCTGCTTATTCAACAGAAGGTTTGAACTCATTTCAGGACTGGCTCTGGCACTGTTCTAATCAAGCTGTTCACTTGTAGCAGAGAAGACTGGACAAAATTTGAAGCATCAGCATAAGGGCAGGAACTACGTTTTATTTGGGCCAGAGTTTACCATTCATGCATAACTCCTATATCATCAATTGCATCACTTTTGAAAAATCAGGCCAGTTATTTGGCAGCCTGATTTTTCCCACTCATTTTTAGAACTCTTGACCCCAGTTAAGACAGAGGTGACTATATCATAGAGAGAGAGAGAGAGAGAGAGAGAAAGTGGCTATAAAGTAGCAGACTGATACTTTGGCATATGTAGAAGGGTCACAAAATTGTGCAAGTCTGAAAAGTTCAAAGGGACTTGAACATTTAGATCACGTCCAACATTTAGATCATGTCCACAAGGCCAGGTGAACTGCCTCCAGATGGGATTAGGTGCCACACTTGCAACCAGCTGGCAAATGTGGAGGTACATAAAGAATTAAAAGGTTTACTGCTCATCTTAAGCTCTCCATGAGGAGTAAGTCATCTCTAATTAGCAACTAATAACACGAATTCTAAATAAGCTACCATGCAACTTTTCAATTTTGAACTCACAGAATATATCAATTCCTAAAAATTTCATTTTAATTGTTTAATAAGGTCAGGGGTTGGGTGCCCGTCAGAGACACTCGGTGAAAAGAGAAACCATTGATCCCCAGCTGGGAAGCCAATCTTTTGGGAGTGCCAGCCACCTTTCAAGAGACAGGATGGCCTGGTGCTGGACCAGATACAAGTTAAACGAGAAAATTAATAGACATAAGCTCAGAAAAAGGAAAGAAGAAAGGGAGTAAAATGTGTAATCGGTTGCTAGGTAAAAAGATGAGACTTTTCTCAGAATTAAATTGCCAGTATGTCAGAAGGGATCACACTTCTATTAAATGGAGAAAGAAAGAAGTCAGGAAATTCAGCTGAAGATTCCCATGGTAGTTTGAACACAACGCTTTTGTTGATACATCTCTGATGGGGTTTCATTATAACTTTAGAGGACAACATTGTTAGTTCTTCCAACGGCTCCGACCAAACAAAGAAAAAACCCCAAATCATCAGATTACGTATCATGACATTACCTCAATAGGTATAGTCTGACAGCTCCGTTATGAATATTTTCACATATCCATTGTGAATAGGGCTGTCAAGCGATTAAAAAAATTAATCGTGATTAATTGTGCTGTTAAACAATAATAGATTATCACTTATATAAATATTTTTGGATGTTTTCTACATTTTCAAATACAACACAGAATACAAAGTGTACAGTGCGCACTTTATATTTATTATAAATATTTGCACTGTAAAAAAAATTGTATTTTTCAATTCACCTAATACAAGTACTGTAGTGCAATCTCTTTATCATGACAGTTGAACTTACAAATGTAGAATTATGTAAAAAAAAAAACTGCATTCAAAAATAAAACAATGTAAAACTTTAGAGCCTATGAGTCCACTCAGTCCTACTTCTTGTTCAGCCAATCGCTCAGACAGACAAGTTACAAGAGATAATGCTGCCCACTTCTTGTTTAAAATGTCACCTGAAAGTGAGAACAAGCACTAAAGATTCAGCTTCAACCACCATTCCAGAGGACATGCATTCATGCTGATGATGGGTTCTGCTCGATAACGATCCAAAGCAGTGCAGACCAATGCATGTTCATTTTCATCATCTGAGTCAGATGCCACCAGCAGAAGCTTGATTTTCTCTTTTGGTGGTTTGGGTTCTGTAGATTTCGCATGGGAGTGCTGCTCTTTTAAGACTTCTGAAAGCATGCTCCACACCTGGTCCCTCAAATTTTGGAAGGCACTTCAGATCCTTAAATCTTGGGTCGAGTGCTGTAGCTATCTTTAGAAATCTCAGATTGGTACCTTCTTTACATTTTGTCAAATCTGCAGTGAAAGTGTTCTTAAAACGAACAACATGCTGGATCATCATCCGAGATAGTTATAACATGAAATATATGGCAGAATGCAGGTAAAACAGAGCAGGAGACATTCAATTCTGTACACTTTGTATTCTGCTTTGTAATTGAAATCAATATATTTGAAAATGTAGAAAAACATCCAAAATATTTAATAAAAATCAAATGGTATTCTATTAACAGTGCAATTAATCACGATTAATGCTTTTAATTTCGATTAATTAATTGCGTGAATTAACTGTGATTAATTGACAGCGCTAATAGTGAATTCTATATGGAGAATAGTTTCAAAGTTGGGTGCCTAAAGTTAGGCATATTCTGGCTATCTTATAGCATCCCATCAGAAACTTATTTATCTACTACAGTCAAACCTCGCAATAACGCACCCGACGATAACGCGAATTCGGATATAACGCGATCATAAGTTGGCTCCCCTTTAAGGACGTAATACTGTTCGCGTTTTGCCAGAATACTTTTTTTACGACATTTATAAATAAACTGCGTTCTTCCGGTCTTATAGGATAAAGTGACTCATGGCCATTGCAGGCCCATTGCACTTAGTTCTCGGGTTGTACGTGTGTATGGTGTTTGCCTATGAACTTCTTATTAATTTCCTATATTTTAAAAAATATTTTACCATTATAGATATGCCAGTTCGCAAACGCAAGTCGTTTTCTGCCCAAGAGAAATTGTACGCCCTGGATCAACTAAAGAAGGGCAAACAACAAACTCAGCTTGCTAGAGATCTAGGAATTAGCGAGTCCACTCTGCGAGGGTGGAAAAAAGAAGAAGAAAAGCTCTGTAGCCTACCCTGCATTCTTGAAGAGGAAACTGGTTTACAGCATAAAAAGGTCAAGTTTGCTAATGATGAAAGCTTAGATTCAGCCTTGTACCAATGGTTTGTCCAGGCTCGCTCAGAAGGGGTTCCCATTTCTGGCCCTATTCTGAAAGCTCAAGCAGAGAAATTTGATCGCCTTATCAATGGAAATGAATCCAAATTTAAGGCGAGTAACGGCTGGCTGGACAGATTCAAGAAAAGGCACACTATAAGCCAAGTTCTTGTGTCTGGGGAAATCCGCTCAGCTGATAAAGAGGCTGCCGATTCCTACCCAATTGAGCTTAAAAAGTTGCTGGAGGAAGGTTGCTCACAGCTGATCAAGTTTACAACTGCGACGAGACTGGTTTATGCTTTAAAATGTTACCCGATCGCACCCTCGCAACCAGGGCTGATAGTCACAAACGAGAAGGCTTTAAGCAGAGGAAGGACCGAGTCATTCTCTTGTTTTGCATCAACAAGTCTGGCAGCCACAAAGTTAGAACTCTGATGATTGGAAAAGCGAGGTCTCCCAGATGTTTTCATCATGTTAATATGAAGGCCCTTCCCTTTAAATACACCAACAGCAAGAATGCATGGATGAATAGCTCCATATTTAAAGACTGGTTCCATAAAACTTTCGTGCCAGCCGTTCGGGCTCATTTGCGAAAACTCAAGCAGGAGGAAAAAGCTCTCCTCCTGCTGGATAATTGCCCTGCCCACCCCCCAAGTGGAAAATCTTGTCAGTCATGATGGCAAGATTAAAGTCTCTTATCTCCCAAAGAACACTATGCCAGAAATCCAGCCACTGGACCAAGGCATCATACCGGTATTTAAGCAAAACTATTGTCGCGAAATGATCAAGCAGATGGTAGCGGATAACAACTCCTCCGTCGACACATCACTCAACTTGAAAGAAGTCTGTCACCTCGGCGGGAAAGCCTGGGATGCTATCTCTGCACGTTGCATTGAACGATGCTGGATAAAGGGTCTTGGTCCAGCTTTTCCGTCGTCTACACACGATGATGGTAACGATGACGAGCCTGAATTTACAAGATTCGTCGAAGACGATGTACGTTTAGCCGAAGAAGCACTCAGAGAATATAAGCACAGTCATCATGATATCCTCAACCAAGGATATTACATAGGAGTTGATTGAGATGGATAGCAAGGGAATGGGTACTCTATTGGAAAAGGCACCTATTACTGCCTGTAGGGTACACCATTAATTTTGGTTTTATTATAATCAGTGTTTACCCCGGCATATTATCAGATATTTTATCTAATACCTATGAAAACGGAGGTAGTGTTTGTGGGCTGGGGGGAAGACAAAGGAGAAATAATAGAGATTATATCAGCCCTCCTAATTGAAGTAGCAGGACTACCATTTGTTAGACAGGTTTGCAAATGGAGCTTATGTTGGCTCCTCATCTACTACTAGATGTCCAGGTAGCAGCAGTAGCTAAGGGTATTTCTCCCCCATCTGTCTGGTAAGAATACTGCAACCTTTCCTTTTAGATGCAGAGTTCACCACTATTATTCATAACAATCTCACCCCAACGTTTGATTACTGCAGCAGATGCTACCTAGGGCTGCACACCTTTAAGCCCTACCTGAAATTTTAGAGATTGCAGATGTTGCTTATAAGTTGCATATAAGTGCTGTGCCACACTACACTACCATGCTCTGCGATACGC